TTCATCAAAAAGACCATGAAAGTAAGCACTATGTGGATTCAGAACCACATAAAAAATAGGCTGAATTCTTAGCATGAGTCTTTCGTATGACATTGGGAAAGTCAATGATTATTTTCTTCTAAGTTATCTTTTTTTGCAAACCTTTCTAAGTTTCTCCACGAAGAAAATTTAATGGTAGAAAATCTTTAACCCAAATCATAACACAACCTCAATAGTTGGGTCTCAAAAAATAAGGTAACCTGTTCCCTATAACCGGCTTCAATGTCCTGAAAATCTCTGGACATCTAAAAGTTCTAATTCTTTCCATGGCTTTTCTCCCAGTAAAGCCAACGAATATTACAGTCAGCTATCATGGCCAGCTCTAACTTTCATCCTAAGTCCATGGTCATATCCCTTTTGACAATGCTTATAGAAACATCACAATGAGTAAACCGATGTATTCTTCACCATTAATTTTTAAATGTTCTCAGGGAAAATCTGGTAACTTGGAGGTTACAAATTGATAATTCTCATGTGTTTGGGGGTTAGTCTCAGTTGTTTGGCCATGTTTTTTGTGCTGTTTTTTCTTGATCCAACTAAATATTTCTCCCAGATGAGACCAGTTTTTTACCTTCTTGTTTGATTGTCCTAACCCTCGCCCTTTTAACATTGTCTTACTAGGTCCCTTTCTTTTGTTTGCCACTAATAGCCATAGCTGGTCACATAATTCCTGTAACCGGTGTTGACCAATTTGGACACATTCAAAGAAGCATAGAGCTGTCCTCATGTCCAAAGGATTTCAAAGCTCAATTAAAGCTCATGGAGAAGAGTACATCCCACATTATGGTGCCATCTAATGAGTAGGGATATTATTTCTCCCCTGAGATTTTTCTCAGGACAGGCCTTACTCAATAATTTGGAGAACTGTGGGTGACATAGTTCAACACTGGATTGGGCCTTTGACATTATCCAGCATGGATTTGAAAATATCTTTGCCGCCCTGCTCAGCAGGAGACTTTTCTGTTCACTTATTATTTTCCTTATGCTAATTACTTCAGTTTTCAGCAGTTTTTGAGGTCAATTTATTTGATTCTCTAGACAACTTTTTTTTGCAAGGATTCTGAAGGCAGGAGTAACTAGGAAGCATAAATAAACATAATTAAACACAGAAGCTTATAGTGGTACCAGAATTGACCTCAGCCAATTAAAATTATTAATAGAAAAAAGCGTATCAATGTCACATCTGAGCTTACTACCCCTGTTCCCACTTGGGTAATGAAGCTAAGTTTATATTTCCTGGCAAGACTAGATGGGAATCCACATTTCTTCCTGAACTTTGTGTTTCTAGAACACTGAGCTAGTGTAGTATTAGACCATAATAGAACATAAACAAAGGTCAAAATTCAAAATTAATTTTTAAGGCCCACAAATGTGAAATAGGGAGCACTTTGTTTTCAGGCAGTGAAGATTTTTCTCAGTATCACTCTTGATCACAAGAAGAAAATAATTTTATAAAATGTTGATCTTAAACCTCAAATCCTGTATGTGTCACCTGAATTCAATAAAATATTATTTAGAATTCCATGCAAGGCACTGGTCCCACTCCGTTTCATCTTGGTGTCATTGTTTTTTAATGTAAGATGTACTTCTAAGGCAAGAAGGCAAGTGTTTCAAGTCTGGTAGCACTACAATTACAGATTAGAAAGTTTGGAAGTACTTACAAGTGTCAAGATGTCTGACTCATCAGAAGGGCTTATCTAAATTGGCATTTGAACTTTTTAAATTTCTAAATATTCCTGTTACTCCTGACTCCTCTGTCGTTTCCTTAGTAAAACTGCACCACACACTGGAAAGTAGAGATACAAACATTTATTTGTATAATGTCAAGGGAGAGTAGAAATATGAAGATTGGCTGCAGACACAATCCGAGTCTGGGAAATGAGAACACTTTTTTCTTCAGCAGAAATGCCGACGTGGCAATGGGAGTTGAACAGGTAGAAGATTTGCCATCATTTCTGACTGAGCAGCACTGAGAAGATTGCTAAGATTCTTGACGTTTACTTGCCAGGTTTTTCGGGAAGGAAGTAAATTACAACTGAGCTTGAAAACCTGGGGAAATAACTCATTTTCAAGCAAATTTAAAGTTGGAAAGTAAATATCGGTTTGAAGTTAGCATAAAGAGCAGAACTCTTCATGTACTTTGTAAGGTAGTGCAAGTTTTTTTTTTAATTGATAAAACCAGCCTCTTAAATTGTTTTGCAGTATTCAAAGAAATTATGTCTGCATTCAGCCTACACCCGTGGGAACCAATACAGAAGTTCTCTGAGGTAGCCGAGCTCTGTCCTTTATTGCTCCTGGTTGTTCAGCATATCTCACATTCATTCATATGCTACCACAAAACTCCACTATCTGTGCAGCAGGGTGGTTTGTATTGGTCATGTGTTCTGTCAAGTTGACAGAGGTGCAAAGCTAAATGTGTGACACTCTAAGAATATGCATATATTTGAATAATTTGACTATTCAGTCCAACAATTTGCCAAGATGCTCTGAATGATCACACTTCCTGATAACACTTCCAAGGAACGGATAGTTTCACTCATTTTGGAGTGGAGGAGGCAAGGATGTTTCCAGCTGAAGTTCCTGAGTTCATTGCAATCCTCGTCTCTGGCATTCAGTTGTGTGAACTTGGGCACATTATTTCATGGCACTGAGCCTCTGGTTCTTCATTTATGAAAGGAGAACAATATTTTCTGTCGCTAGTCTTTAGAAGCTGTAAAACAGCTAATAAAAATGAACTCACTTTGTTAACTGTAGACCATTAGGTAAACCGAACTGAGTATATATTAACATTACATATTCAGTTAGTTCAACAGCACATTCTTGATAACCACAAGAGGGTCCAGGAAAGGAAACTGTTTATAAATCTTTCCCTTTCCCCAGATCAATTTTTGAGTGTTTAGGGAAATTCTTACAGAAATTATTAGGTCAAGCCTCTTTGATATTACAGACAAGTGCACATACACACAAAACTGCCTGCCGAAATTTGGGGGCAATGGGAGATTCCTCTAATACCAAATTAAACATTCCTAAAGACAGAGTGTTTCTTAAAGTGTGACCTCAGATTTTTCTGCATCCGAAAATGTTTGAGGTCCTTGTTAAATGCTAATCCCCGGATCCTGCCCCACCCGCACTAAATCATGGCTGGAAGAAAAATCTGCATTTTTAACAGGTACCCAGGTGATTTTTTTATGCTCGGAGCAGGTGCTAGGACTCCAGGTTAAGTATTGCTGTATTGTTCCTTGTTCTGAAAAATTAAGGTCTCTGTCCTAAGTGGCTAAGAATCGGTCGAACTAATGGGAAGAAAATTCAGCTTTGATGCAGGAACCAAGGTAGACAGTTGACAGGGTTCGCCCAATGGCAAATTGAAAGTGGTCCCCAGGACCCTAGCCACTTCAGTTCTCTCCGAGGGTCTCGGCTACTGGCAAATATGAATCGGAAAGACTGTTTGCTCTTCTGTTGGTGGGAGGGGGCACGAGGGGAGGATGCACTGAGCCAAATGCTTCCCCCTACCCGTTAAAACTGAAGGCTTTTTATTTATCTTTGCTGCCAAGGTCCATTATTAAAAGGGTGGTTTATGTGTGTAAGTTTGCTAGGGAGGGAAGTGAAAACATCTGCAAAACCATGCAATGCCTGGAACGGAACTCTTCTAATAAAAGATGTATCATTTTAAATGCGCTGAATTTTGATTCTGGTAATTCGTGCACTAGAGTGTCTATTTCGAGGCAGCGGAGGTATCATATGACAGCGCACGTCAAGGCACCGTGGAGCCCTCTCGTGGACTCCCACCCACTTTCCCATTCACCGCTGCGAGGGCTGCTGGCGCTGCCGCTCCCCCCGGCGAGCTAGCATGAAATTTCCCTGCCTGTGCCGTGATCAAATGGAGCTCCTGCTTCAGGGGGTGCGCGTATTACCTCCGCCATGCATTTTCCACTATCAATAATTTAACTTCTTTGCTGCAGAACAGGAGTACAGACCGGGCACCAAATACTCGCCCCTACCCCCCTTCTTTTTAACCAAAGGGAACGTGGGGGGAAAAAATAGTCTGGGAGTTTTGGGACCGAAGTCTTCCCCCGCGCAGCTGCCTTGATGTTTACTTTGACAAGTAGTGACTGAGAAGGTGGGTTTTTCTTTCTTTCTTTCTCTTTCCGTTTTTCTCCGGTCGGCTAGAAAGCGTGTGGCTTTAGTGAGGTCTGTCATTGCCTCGGCTCTCCTGGCTGGAGCAAGTAACTTGGTGTAACGTTATCTGGGGGCGTTCATTAATAAACAATGCCGTTATTATCTTGATTGAATTCCTATTAGGCAAACTCCGGAGAGGTCAGTGCGCGAACTCTTGTTAAGCCGGCGTGTTTAAGGCCGCGGAGTAAACCAATAGCCCCCCAGCTCTGTGCGATTTCATTGTGTGCTCGCGTTTGCAAGCTCCGTGGTGCGGGAAGGTGTGTCTGTGGCCGGGGATACGCGCGCCCTCTCACACTGAACTTGAGCGCTGGAATGGGGCGGTGGGAGTTTCGGCGAGGAGAGCTAGACCCCCGGGCGCGGGATTCGCACTCGCTCCCTCCCGCCCCAGCGCGCACGGCCGGGTTTCCGCCGAGGGCGCGGGGTTCCCGGGGCGGGGGTTAGGGCTCCCCCGGGAGCGGTGGGCACAGCGCGTGCGTCCTGCGGAGGTGCCCGCGGCGGGCGCTGCGCTCGCGGGCTACGTCGCGGGACTCCGAGGGACGGGCAGCGCGGGACGCGCGGGCCCGGGAAGCCCCGGGAGTCCCGGGCTCTGAGCCGCGACGAGGAAAAGGCGCGGCGTCCCCTTTAAGCGGCCGCCCCGCACGGGTATCGGTGGCGCGGGGGAGCCAGCGAAGGGGGGGGGGGCGGGGGGCGGCGCCGTTTGACCAATCGAAGCGCAACCGAAGGTCTAAATAATGTCCGACCCGAGCTCCGGGCGCAGGCTGGAGCTCCGGGTCGCCGTGGCCGCCGCACCCGGGCGGACCCGCCCGCTCGCTGTCCCGCGCACCCAGTAGTGCCGCGGGCTGCCGGGCGGGGCCGAGGAGCAGGCTCGGCGCGCCCCCCACCTCCTCTCGGTGAAGCTTGGATGAAACACTTGAACCGCAGCTGCCACCCCTGCTTTGGGGCAGGCGGCGTGGGGCTCCGCGACGGGGACTGGGTCTGGGCGCAGGGGCCAGGAGCCGGACGACGATGTGACTCAGCCGCTGGCCACCCGTGAGCTGTGTGTGGACCCCGAGGTAGGCGACCACCAGGCACTGGGCTTGGCGCAGGAGCCGCCCGCCTGCTGGGGAAAGTTGGCTGGGGGGCCCCGAAGTTACGGGAAGAGGCCAGAACTCCCTTCGTCCCCTCCGGGAGCTGGAGGGATGTGGGGTTGTTCCTGCGCAGCTTCCTCCCTCCATCGCAGGAACCTGAGTCGCGGCCAGGATCCCCGAGGGAGAGGGACCCCGAGAAGCCCTGGGGTGGGGGAGAGGAAGCCTGCGGGAGACGTGGAGCCGCGCGATGGGAGCGAAGACCGCGTCCCGGGCATCCCCCGAAACCCTCCCCCAGCCGAGGACAGGTCCTGAGAGAGACGTGGGGCGCCAGCTGTCGGGGGCCCTACCCGAGGTGACGGTGCCAGTGCTGGGATGTGAATCTTGCCCACGGGCTGGGCGGTCCCGTTCACGATGGGGGGGTGGGGGGCCTCCCTCCCTCACACCGCATCCCCATCCCGGGAACTTCATCCGGCTGGCACGCGGTCACCTGCCCCACAGGAGTTGAGACCAAAGAGGACTGACACGGGTCCGATGCCAGTGTGCTTGGGAAAACTTGAGAAGCCCTCGCAGCTCGAACCTTAAGGGGCTGCGGAACTGCGGGATAGTCTGTGCCCACACCTGTCCCACCCCGCACCCTCCCTTGGGGCACACCTTCCAGGGAGGTAGAAGTTTTGACTTTGGGAGGCTTGGTGGGTGGGTGGAATGTGTGTGGGGGGTGTCCTGACTCGGGTGGGTCTCTGGGGATGCAGAGCCGGGGAGGAGGAATGTGACCTGTACCTGGAAAGAAATAGCCGAGGGTTGGGGGCTTTATGCCCCATGGGCAGAGAAGCGGAATTGCAGCCTGGGGGGGGATCCCCAGGGGAGAAAAGCCTCACGGCCGCTGGGATAAACTAGAGTTGCAGTCGGAAGATGCTGTGTTTGTGTGCGGTGCTGGAGCCGGGTGGAAGGACCCGGGTGGTGGGGCGAGGAGGTGGCGGGGGCAGGGAGTGCGGTGCTAGGGAAGGTAGAGGGTGCCCTCTGCCGGCCAAGCTGCCCTGAGCAGCGGCTGGGGGCGGGAGCCTGGGGGTGGGGAAATGTTAAGGGATAGCTTTGCCGAATCCCTTTGGGAGCTGGTAGGAGGGACTTGTTGAATGATGCTTTCTGACTCCAGATGAATTTTGATTTCGTGGCGCCTCCTTGGCTCCAATGCAAAAAGTTTTCCGCGCTGCTGGAGCTTTGACAGGCTAAGGTTGGTGGTGTGTTAGGGCCCCCTGGGTCTTATTTTAGGGCTCTCCAGGTGTCTTACGCTTACACCTCAACGTCAGCAGTACCCAGTGAACATTTTCTCACAAGAATGCAGGAATGTTCTTGGCCAGAAGCAAAGAAAAGCATATTTCTGAGTGTTTATTCATTCTCCTAGTACAGTTATCTTTTAAAGCAAAGCAGGATGTTATAAGAAACGTTGGTTTTTAACTGCATATAAAACGTGTTATGCTATTAAATGAAACCTTTAAACTGGCCCAACTTCTTAAAAAATAACTCCTCTGTGTTTTTATCCCAAAACCTATGTTTATGTGACTTTGTTGTACAGTCAAAAGCCATTTTGGCTATAATATATTTGTACATACATATATTTTTACATTTGTATTTTTTGAAGTATACTTACAGATTTAATTCATATGAACTTGGGTGCCTGCAATAGTCACCTCATGCCTCATTCTCATCTTTACACTGGAGGTTTCTGGGATTATGGTGCACAGTGCTTCCAGTTATTAAACATAATAGATCACATTGCACCTAAAAATTATACTGCAAAGTTTTGTCCCTGGTAATAGCACCCTTTTAAAATAATCACCCACTCCTGTCCCCCGATGTTGCAAATACCTTGCTTAAGATTTTTCTTCTGTAAGTTAACCTCTGGACTGGCAGTAGAAGTAAGAGAAAGGAAAGAGACACTTGTTGAAATGTAACCATAAACTTTACTGGAATTTTAAACATGTTAGTCACCGTCACTGGAATTCCAGGGCCATAAAGTCGTTGTGTTTCTCTTCTACTTTATTTTGCAAAATGTGATAAATGTTGGTAAATATAGACTGATCATAAGTTTTATGACAGGAAAAGTGTTATGTATGTATAGCTATTTTAAGTTATTACAAAGTGTTTCCTATTTATAAATGATATAAGCAGAAAGAAATGGTTTCTAGATAAACACGACTTACGTACACGTTTGGAAACATTAGAACATTGCAGACTCACTTAGACATCACCTTTTTTTAAAACCAAAATAACAGTAATTTTTCACATACCTTTGGAGCTTTTCATAGCTCATTCAGAGCTGAATTAGTGTCTCGAAACCTTGCTTATTTTAAAGTGATATTCAAGGTCATTTGAGATGTATAGTAGGTCAATATTAAAGTATGGAGAAAATGAAGCATTTAGGAAATCTGTTTTAGGATGTTATTTCAGTAAGTATAACTTATACTTGCAAACAAAATGGACCAAGAAAGTGATTATTTGCCTAAAATGCAACGAGCACTTCAAATGATTCATGTATACTGTGAGAGTTAATTGCCTAAATCTCATGATGGCCCACGAGGGATGGGGAAGTGCTGGAATATTGCTGGTTAACTTTCACTCACTATGAGGGGGGCGAATCCTGTAAATACTGCAATTTTCTAAAATCCTAGCTCAAAGTCTCTTGGTTTTCAGTTTAATGGGGCACCGTTACGATGTAAATCATTCCCTCCTTCCTGTAAGACTTGAGTCCCAGCTTTTCAATAGTCAAAATGTAGATGATCAATAACCTCATTTCTTTCTAACATAAATAGCTCTGGTTTGTAGCGCAGCTCACACAGCAAGCTGAGCACGCCCACCTGATAATATACCAAAGAGCTTGTTCACATTTTTTTTTACATTTGTCTTTAAAACCTTCTGTAACTCTCTCTGCCTCTCTCTCTCTCTCTCTCACACACACACACTCACACTCACACTCACACACACCCCTATTTACAGGTAGTGAACTTGTAGAACATAACAGCCAACAGCTTTGGGTTGCAATCATAGACTTGATCAATTAAGCTAAGATTCAAAAATTATCTAAGATGTACACAATGCACGAGTGATATACAAGTAGTTCATTAACATTTTAAAATTTAGGAAGTTTGTTCCAGAGTAGAGAAAAGAACAATTCTAAACTTCCTGAATGAAAACAGCAGATAGAGTGTATAATAGCAAGCCTCTGAATATTTTTTTAATGAAAGGCACTCTCATTTCAGATGTCCATAATACTGAGTTTATTGTGATCATTAAAACGTTTCAACCTGTACCTCCCCATGTGGAAGATTCTAGTTTGCGTGAGGGAGCTAGCCTAGCCCATGCAAGTGAATGTATCCCTTTAATAGGGTAATTGCTGACTTGTCTCAACTAGTTTTCAAATGATTGTTAGCACTCAGTTTCCACTAATTGCAAAATTGCTGCTTAATTGAAGGACTCTCAGCCGTCTAGTGCAGTCATTCAGCCACTGGCAGGCTCTGTGATCTCAAGCTGTGAATTGCACTTTAAATAGAATGGAGGAGAGGGTTGCGGGGATATTCTAGTTTTCAGTGCTAGCTGTTTGTTCAGTGGAGGAAGAAATCATTGGAACAAGAATCACATTAAGCTGAGTTGTGATAAATTCTCTTTATTAGGATGAATAACATGCCCTGATGGGCTTCAAAAGTGAATGAGCAAACTTACCCATTACACTCTGCATCCATTTATTCTGTTTGGTATGGAGTGATGTTAAGCAATAAATGATGTCAGCAAATGAAATCTGTATGTCATTTGTATGTGGGGTTTAACCCTCAAAACAGAGGAAGACTTTAGTATTTTTAAACTTAGGCATATGTGTCCTCAAATTTCCCTAAAATTCCACTTAAGATATAGAATTGTTTAATCCTAAATAATTTTGTGCTTAAATGCACCTCTGGCTTTCCAGAATGCTTATACTAAAACCTTTAGGAAAGCCATGGATCCAATTATTAAGTACATGGAACCACTATTGATCCAGACATGAAACATGGATCTCACTAATACATTAATTAGGAAAAACTTTTTGGAGGGAGGACGTGGTTAATGGGTGTGTTTACTAAGTGGAACAGGAAGGTATTCTCAGTTCAGTAGGAAAACTTGAGTGGTCAGATAAGAGGTATGGAAGCTTTTATTTAAATGCAAGTTGGTCAAAGAGGTGAAGGGATTGAAAAGTACAGATTGGTAGTATTTGTACAGATAAAAGTACAAAATAATCCCTGGGATATAAAGTTCAGCATAGGAAATATACTCAATAATATTGTAATAATGGTGTATGGTGCCAGGTAGGTACTGGAAATATCAGGGTGAACTTTGTGTAGTTCATGGTTGACTAACCATTGTGCTGTACACTTGAAACTACTACAAAATGATATTGAATGCCACCTGTAATTGAAAAAAATTTTAAAAATACATGCAGGTACTCAAGCTCAAGTACAAACTCTGGGACACTTACGCTCTTGGTGAAACAAATATGAACGAATATCCTGCTTGTGGCCCTGATGTCTCATTTATACACTCACTGCCTAACACCTTGAGGATGGATCCCATTAGATGAATTTGGGGGAGGGGACAGGAGAGTGACTGGGGGAAGCAAAGTAAATTTCAAGCTTCAGTGAGAGCCATAGTAAAGTCAAAGTTTATTTTTAAAGAGTTCAGAGTAATGAATGTTATACCGTTTTCCTCCAAAGGTTCACTTGAAAGAACTTTCATTGGTTGTCATGGTAGTAACATCTTGATTTTGAAAGCTTGAAGAACCTTGTAGCTCTTAAACGTGCTTTCATCTTGTTTCCTTTCGTCTCACCGAAGCTTTACGACAACCTTCTGTGTTTCTGACACGCTTCTGCATTTCTGGAGGGAGGAGGGCTGGCTGGAGGAGATTCCTTAACTCAGAGACAGCGTAACAAGGAAATGTAAAATTATATTTTAAAGAAACCACT